GAGACCACCTACACTGTTGTTGGGAATTTAACAGGTACAGGCACTATACAGAACAGGATGGAAGTTCCTTAAAAAACTAAAAACAGAGCTACCATACGATCCAGCCATCCCTCTCCTGGGCTATATCTGGAGAAAACCATAATTGGAAAAAATACATGCATCTGAACTACTATTTACAATAGCCAGAACCTGGAAGTAATCAAAATGTCCATCAACAAAGGAGTAAAGATGTGGTATGTATATATACAATGGAATGTTACTGAGCCATAAAATTAACAAAATAATTCCATTTGCAGCAACAGGGATGGACCTAGAGACTGTTATACTTAGTGAATTAAGTTGAACAGAGAAAGACAAATCTTATGTGATATCATTTGTGGAAGCGAAAAAGAAAAGGTACAAATGAATTTACTTACAAAGCAGATATAGAGTCAAAGGTGTAGAAAACTAACTTATGGTTACCAAGGGGGTAAGGAGGGGAAGGGTAAATTGAGAGATTTTGATTGACATATACAAACCACTCTATATAAAATCAGTAACTAATAAGAACCTACTGTATGGCACTGGGAATTCTACTCAACACTCTGTAAAGGCCTATATGGGAAAAGACTCTAAAAAGAGTGGATATATATATACACATAATTGATCCAGTTTGCCATACAGCAGAAACCAACACAACATTCTGGAGCAGGAAATGATAACCCACTCTAGTATTCTTGCTTGGAGAATTCCATGGACAGAGGAGCCTGGTGGGCTGGAGTCCATGGGGTTACAAAATCAGACATGACTGAGCATGCATGCACAATGCAACACTGTAAATCAACTGTGTGTGCTAAGTTGCTCAATCATGTCTAACTGTTTGTGACCCATGGACTATAGCCTGTCATGGACTATGTCCATGGGGATTCTCCAGGTAAGAATACTGGAGTAGGTTGCCATGCCTTCCTCCAGGGTATCTTCTCAACCCAGGGATTGAACCTCACGACTCCCACATTACAGGCAGATTCTTTACCGTCTGAGCCAGTTAAAAAAAAATAACACATTAGACCAGATGAACTTAATTGATATTTATAGAGCATTACATCTGAAAGCAGAATAATACATATTCTTTTCAGGTGCATATGGAACCTTCTCCAGGATAGAACACATGCTAGCCACAAGACAAGTCTCAGGAAACTTAAGAAAACTGAAATCATATGAAATATCTTTTCTGATCACAATGCTATAAGGCTGGAAATCAACTACAAGGAAAAACAACTTCAAAAAACCAAACAAATAGAGGCTAAACAACATGTAACCAACATATAACCAATGGATCACTGAAGAAATGAAAGAGAAAAAAATAGAGACAAAAGTCTTTCATTTGTAGAGACAAATGAAAATGAAAACAGGGTGATCAAAAATCTATGGGACACAGCAAAAGCAGTTCTACAACAGAAGTTAATAGCAGTATAATTTTACCTTAGGAAAATATGATATAAGGAAGTAGGAAAATCTCAAATGAACTACTTCACCTTACAACAACAAGCAACTACAGAAAAAAAGAATAAACAAAACCCGAAATTAGCAGAAGGAAAGAAATCATAAAGGTCAATGTAAAAATAAAAGAAATGGAGATGAAGAAAACAATAGGATTAGCGAAACTAAAAACTGGTTCTTTGAAAAGATCAAGTTGATAAGCCTTTAGCCAGACTCATCAAGGAAAAAATGAAGAGGTCTCATATCAATAAAATTAGAAACAAAAAAGGAGAAGCTACAACTGACATCACAGAAACACAAAAGATCACAAGAGCAGACTACAAAAAACCATATCCCAATAAAACAGACAACCTAGAAGAAATGGAAAATTTCTCAGAAATGTACAATCTTCCATGATTGAACCAGGAAGAAACAGAGAAAGTGAACCACCAAATTACCAGTATTGAAATTAAATCCTTTATTTGAAAACTCTCAATAAACAAAAGTCCAGGACTAGATGGCTTCACAGGTGAATTTGATCAAATACTTAAGAGTTAAAACCTATCCTCCTGAAACTCTTGTAAAAAATTGCAGAGGAAGGAACACTTCTGAACACACCACCCTGACACCAAAACCAAACAAAGACATCACAAATAAGAGTACAGAAAAATATCACTGATGAATGTAGACCCTAAAATCCTCAACAAAATATTAGCAGTCTGAATCCAACAATACATTAAAAGGGTCATACACCATGATCCAGTGGCATTTATTCCAGGGACACAAGGATTTTCAATTTCCACAAATCTATCAATGTGATACACCAAATTAACTAACGGAAGACCAAATACCATATGATCATGTATTAACAGATATATACATGGAATATAGAGAAGTAGTACTAATGATCCTATTTTCAGGGAAGTTGCAGACATAGAGAACAGACTTGTGGACACAGCAGGGGAATGAGATTGTAGGACAAATTGAGAAAGTAGCATTGACATATAAGATAGCTAGCTAGTGGGAAACTGTTATATAACACAGGGAGCCCAGCCTGGCACTTTATGATGACCTAGAGTAGTGGGATAGGAGGGGTGGGAGGCTTTTGAGGGAGGGGATGTATATATACATACATACACACACACACACACATATATATATATATGTACACACACACGTATATATATATATGTAATTATGGCCAGTTCTCATTTTTGTGCAGCAGAAACCAATACAAAACTGAAAACAATTACTCTCCAATTAAAACGTAAAAAACCCATATGATCATTTCAACAAACACAGGAAAAAGCTTTTGTCAAATGTCACCTTATTATACTATAAAGTATTTAATTTGGTAATATTTTTGAGATGCAATGCACATAACCTCTTAAATTGTTCAATTCAGTGTTTTTTAGCATATTCACAAAGTTTGTAATCATTACCACGATCACTTATGGAACACATTCATCATCTCGAAATATAAACCTCATACACTTTAACTATCCCCTCTCTGCTAATCACCGATACTAGCGGTCCTTGGCAACCACTGTTCTGGTTTCTGTCTCCATAGATTAGCCTATTGTTACACTCTGTTGGATTTGACTTGCTAATATTGTTTTGAGCACTTCTGAATCTGTATTCATAATAGATAACTATTGTGTAGTGTTATTTTTTATTATGATTATGTCTTCATCTCTTCTGATATCTGGGCAATACTGGCCATATCAAAATAATATTGGCCATATAAAATTAATTTTTCAAATGTTTGGCAAACATTCAACTGTGAGACCATATCAGCTTGGACTTTTGGTTGTTGCTGGTGAGTTTTTTGTTCCTAATTAAAACCTTTCACTTGTTATATGACTATGCGGATTCTATATATATAGATTTTTCTGAATTCAGCTTTATTAGTTTTTGTTTTTCCAGGAATTTGTACATTTATACTGTTTTTTATTTTTATATGGTTTTCATTGTCCCTTTAATATTATTAGAGTCAAAAGGAGTATCTGCTCTTTTCTCTTTCTTTGCATTGAATCTTCACTTATTTTCTCTGTCAACATAATGAAATCTTTGTCATTTTGTTGATCTCTTTAAATGACCAATTTTTGGTTTTATTGATTTTTATATTGTTTTTCTATTTTCTATTTCATTAATTTTTGCTATAATCTTTTTGTTATTTTCTTTTGGACATAGGCTTCATTTTTTAAAATTAATTTCTTAAGTTGAAGGGTTATTGATCTCTTAACATAGACCTTTCTAGTTATAAAAATCCCTTAAGCATTATTTTTACTGAAACTCATAAGTTTTGGCATGTTGTGTCTTTAATTTCATTAAAAGTAATTTATAGTTTCTCATTTCTTTTTTGCCATGTTAGTTATTTAGGAGTGTGCTATTTTAATTTTCACATTTATGAGTTCCCTCCATTTCTTTCTATTATTGACTTAAATTTAATTCCACTTTTGTTATAAGGTCATAAACCTTTATTTTTTTGGAACTAAATACATATCAATAGAAAACAAAATACAAAAAACTCTCTTCAGGAAACAGAATTATTTAATCCAACAAATCAGAAGTTGCTTCATCTTCAAAGTGCAGTTTTTGATGTGGGTGTTCACACTTAAGATATGTTTCACAGACTGTTCATTAAACAGCTATTGCAAAGCAGGAGGTAGAAGGGACCATCTCAGGAGAAAAAGACATTGGAAAAGCCACACCTCAGAATCATCTGGAAATTCAACACTTTCTATCTTACCACTTTTCACTTCCAATTACTTTCATTTCTTTACCACAATCTGCCCTTTCAGGGGACAGAACTGTTAATAGAGGTGCAATCCCCAAAATAATCATTCTTTCCTATCATGGACGCAAGAGCCCAAGACTTCCTCTGTGAAATCCACATACCCATTTCTAGAAACGTCAGCTGGAATGATCCGTCTGTCACCCAGAAGTTTCTCCTTTCTCCCAACAGACTGTGCAACCAAGTTCTCTGAATCCCCTGAACCTCAAAATTCCAAGTATCACAACCAGGAGAAAAACCTAAAAGATGAGAGCAGAGAAGTGTCTCTGCCAGTGCTAGGTTTGTTCTTCTCAACAATAAAAAATCCCAGCTCTCTGCAATCACGGAAAAGGAAAGACATTTGCCAGCACCACCCTGCCCATTTCCTAATTCCCACCCCCGCATTCTTGCCCTAATAGAGTCCCCTCCACTCAATGACCCTGCAGCACTGGTCCTACGGAGGGCGCCCAGGAAACATCCTCCTGCTGAGTGCAGCCCCAGTGAAGCAAGGCTGCCTTGGCGTCAGAGACTGGAAAGAGCCACAGGAGGACACAGCGGTATCTCTGTGATTCCAGATTTCATGTTCATTCTCATCACCACCCTTCCTCCCCCTGTCCTTCCACACTGGGGAAGGACTGAGAAGAGGGTGGTGGGCTCAGGAGATCTGTGGGTCTTTCACAGTCAGGCAGTGATTCCATCCGTCTGTCCTAAGACTTGCAGTCTTGTGCCCTTTGCATGCACCAGCCCATGACATCAAATATACAAATCAAGGTTCCTCATTTTCTTGTGTGATTCCGGTCACCAGCAGGAGGTTGCAGGCCATGAACTGCACGCTCAGCACTTTGCTCATCTGGCGGGTGAAGACGCCCAGGAGCTCTCTGGATGAGCCGTCTGCGGGCGTGCAGCTGTGCGTGCTCTTGATGTCCCAGACACGCACTGAGTTGTCCATGGATGCTGACGCGATCAGGCTGCTGTCCGGGCTGAAGGTGAGGCTGGTGATGCTGTCCGTGTGGCCCTGCAGCTCTTTGTAGAGGGTCCCGGATGCCAGGTCCCACAGCTTCAGCCGCTGGTCCTCGCCTGCAGACACTAGGTACTTACCGTTGGGGGAAAAGGCCAGGGAGCGCACGGTGCCGTGGTGGCCGGTGAAGAGCCTCACCAAGTTCCCCTGCTGGGTGCTCCACAGCCGCACTGTCTTGTCTGTCGAGCCCGTGGCTAAATAGTTTGAATTGGGGTGGAACCTGACGCAGTCCACATCTGCCACGTGCCCGGCGTAGATTCGCAGAGGATACGCCCGATCAAATGACCAGAGGCGGGCCGTGCGGTCGTGGCACCCGCTGGCGAAGTACAGGCTGTGCGGGCTGATGTCCAGGTCCCACACGGGGTAGGCGTGGCCCTGGTACCGCACGGTATTGGTGAAGCTGCCCAGGTCCCAGTACCTGATGGACGTGTCTTCAGAGCAGGAGAGCAGCGCAGAGCTGTCCGGGAGGAACCTGGTGCCGTACACTGGCCCGCAGTGTCCCCGCAGGACTTTCATCTCCAGACCTGCGCTGTCATCCTCGTCCTCCTCCGGGACATCACGAGCCAAGTGGATGTGAGACGCGTCGACTTGACGCGGTTCGGAGTTTAACTTCTTGGAACGCGGACTCCACACTTTTATACAGGAGTTGTCGAATCCCGCGGCAAGCAGCCTCCTGTCCGGGGAGACCTCTGCCGTATTCAGCAGCTGCTCCGTGTTGTAGAAAGCGTAGAGGCAGATGGTGGTGAGGGATGGGGGGCCATCCCGAACGCGCTTGATGCTTTCCTGCAGGGCCTTCAGCGCCTCCTCGTTCTGCAGGACGGGTCTCGGCATGTCAGGGGGCTCGAGGCTGCTGCCCTCGCCACCGGAGGGGACACCGCTGGCACAGAGCTGATAGTCCATCTTCTCGGCGGGCCGCACGTCCAGGTATGACACGCCAGGCGAGGACTCTGCCAGGCGTGGACTCTGTCAGGCGTGGTGTCGTTCCTCTGTAGGAAGCTGCGAAAGGAGTTGCACCTTGCCTTCCGGTCGACGGATCACGTACTGTCGTCCAGGAAGGCACGTAGCCGGAAGTTACACGTAAACAGGATATCCTGCCTGGTGCGCTTGATCCGCAGCTGCTCGACGACATCATCGGGGCTGGGTTCTTCACTTCACGGCTCTGCTGGGAGTCAGAGTTGGTGAGAAAATTCCACAGCCTTCGTAACTGTACTTCATATTGCTGGGTCTCTCCCTGGCAAGAGGCTACAGACACTGTGAAGTCACAACCAGATTCTGATTGGGCTGCGAGGCTGGCTGCCATCTCCTGGGCATTCTGCAACCGGCGCAGGCCCCGCTTCAGCCGGCAGGGCACATCCTTGACTGCCGACGATTGAGGTAACAGGACGCGGCCGTCTGGATCTGCTCCTTGAGCACTCGTGTCATGACTGAACATCCCGGGCGGTTCCTGCTTCCCCCACTGCCACTGCCGCCACCACCAGGGTTTCGCGATGCCCCATGCCCCTCAGCCCCCGCGGGGTTTCCGGGGCAGCTGAGAGATGACTGACTGAGGTGACTGGCTGACTCGGAGCCACCTTGGGCTGAGCCAGGCCCTCACAGACATTTATAGTCTTTCATTTCTATTAAATATATTGAAATTTGTTCTGTGACCTATCCTGGAGAATTCTCTTTGTGCACTTGAAAAGAGTATATATTCTACTGTTTTAAGTGTTGTATAGAGCTCTGTTAGGTCAATTTAGTTTACAGTGCTTTGAAGCCTTATATTTTCTCTTTATCATCTTACTGTGATGTTTCTCTATATCTTTGCGTTTATCCTATTTAGAGTCCTTTAAGCTTCATGGACGTGTGGATTAAAATTTTTCATCAGGTTTAGACATTTCAATTATTATTTCTTTAAATATTTTCCCCCCATTTTCTATTCTTTTTTGTTACAGTTTTTGTTTTAAAGAAAGTCTGTTTTGTTTGCTATGACTATTGTTACCCCAACTTTCCATTTCCCTGGAATGTATTTTTCCATCCCATCATTCTCACACTTTTTATTTGTGTCTTTAAATCATGTGAGTCATGTGTAGGCAGTGTTTAGATAGGTCTTTTTCTGGCCATTAAGCTACCTTGTGTCTTTTGATTGGTGCATTTAGTCTATTTATATTTAAATAGGTTTGTATTTATTGTTACATTGCTAATTGTTTTGCATACATTGGTGAGCCTACTGATTTTCCACATTTCTCTGCACCTTTTTATTTTTCATTTTTTTCTATTACTCAGATTTCATAAACTCTATTGATTTATTTTTAAGTTCACTAATTCTTTGTTCTGCCAATTCAAATCTAGTAGATCCCTGTGAGGAATGTTTCTTCTGGTTGTATTTTTCAGCTCCAAATTGCTATGGTTTTTACATTATTTCTGTGCTGTGCTGTGCTTAGTCTCCCAGTTGTGCCCTACTCTTTTTGATCCCATGGAGTGTAGCCCTCCAGGCACGTCTCTCCATGGGCATTCTCCAGGCAAGAATACCTAACTGGGTTGCCATGCCCTCCTCCAGGGGATCTTACTAACCCAGGGATCGAACCCAGGTCTCCTGCATTGCATACAGATTCTTTTACCGTCTGAGCCACCCGGGAAGCCCAAGATACTGGAATATGTAGCCTATGCCTTCTCCAGGTCATCTTCCCAACCCAGGATCGAACCATGGTCTTCTGCGTTGCAGGCGGATTCTTTACCAGCTGAGCTACCAGGGAAGCCCACATTATTTCTATTTCTGTATTAATATTTTCCTTTGCTGCAATATTGTCGTCACATCTTTTTTACTTCTTTTAGCATCATTCTCTTTAGCTTGTGAGATATATTTATAATGACCATATTGAAGTTTTTGTCTGTTACAGCTGACATCTGGTTGATCTCACAGAGTATTTTTCCATTGTTTAGTTGCTTTTTTCTGTGTACGTGTGAGAACTTCCTATTTATTTGTATGATATACCTATAACTACATCTGTACCTAATCTATATACATCTCATATTGATAAAATTGCTCTAGTATAACATTGACACAGTTTCTACATTTTTAATATCCAGTCCCCCCAAATATATATATCAAATGTGTGTGTATATATATATATGTATACACACACACACACATATACACACACACACACACACATACATATGTAAGCTTCCCAGGTGGTAATGAATCCTCCTGCCAATGCAGGAGACATAAGAGTAGCGAATTCAATCCCTGTGTTGGGAAGATCCCCTGGAGAAGGGCATGGCAACCCTCTCCATTATTTTTGCCTGGAGAATCCCATGGACAGAGAAGCCTGGTGAGCTACGGTCCATGGGGTCACACAGAGTTGGACACACTGATTGAAGCAACTTAGCGCATATATATTTATAAATGTATATGTGTGTGTGTGTGTGTGTGTGTGTATGTACATTTGATATATATTTTGGGGGGACTGGATATTAAAAAAGGTAGCGATTGTGTCAGTGTTCTACTATAGAAATTTTATCAACTTATATTTAATGTTGTAGAAACGTTGGATATTCCCCTTTCTGCTCTCCAGGACTTGTTTTTGCTGTTTGTTCCTTACTTTTTTTTAGTGATTAGCAAGATTATTTAGCAAAGTTTATTTCACCCCCATAATGTGAGCCACTGTCATTGCCACATGAAGGTGAAGTCTTCGTGAGCACTGTCATCCTGGGATGATGATTTTTGTTTATTTGTTGTAATAACATCTAGCTGTTAAGCTCCACTAATTTCTGGCTTATTTCTCCATCATCAACAATGACCTGAGGCATAAATTTCTTACAGAGTGATTCAGTGAAATTCATGCTCTTTTACAAGGACAGTTTTTAAGGTCTTCATTCGAAATTGTTTTGGTCTCTTTCCCTGATTTTTTTATTTTATTTTTCTGGAAAATTAGTCAAATAATAGTACACCTCATGTTTCTAAGGAATCTACCAGTTTCCTTTTAATTACTTTTCATCATACTTTCCAATGTTTTGAAAATTCCCTTGGGTTCAGTTCCCCACACTCTGTTTCAATTAAGTCAGTTTCTTGGGAAGAGATTCAGAGCTTTCTGTTTTATGGACTGCATTTACCCTGAGGCAAAATATCTGAGTTAGGGCTCTGAAGTTGGGGGTGGGGACAAAAATATATTTCTCTCTGAGAGATACTCATTATAAAGTAGGCATTCAACTGGGGATGAAGGGGTGTAGATCAGGTTATAACCTCTTGTTTCTCCACTTGCTTCTTAAAAAGCAGGACAAGCAAACTGAAGTATGGTTGATCTGGGCCCCAGTATTCTTCACTTAAAATAGAGCCTCCATCCCACGAGGAGAGACTGGACTTAAGAACTGACTCCTGACTGAATTTCCCTGGAACATAATGTCTGCAACAGGTAACTGAAGCATGATTAGAAATGTTGATGTCCTCTCCTGGAAAGATACTGTAGCCCTTTAACTGAGAGCTGTTGAAAAGAAATCCTTCCACATGCACGAATCTGGAGTGGAATTTCCAAAGCACTGAGCTGGCTGGCCATGGTTCAAATGCCCCAGACTCACTTAAAACGTTTTAGTTTTAGTAGACTTTCTCAATTAAATGTATTTTCATTTTCTGTATATCTTTAGGGTCATTTTCTGAGAGTCTAAATTGACATTGTTGTAATTTTTACTAGTTTTATTTGGGAGTTGGTCTGTGTTACTCCTTATGGCACTATAACAGAAGTTCATCTATCAGGGCTTTTTAAAATTGGTCTCCTGAGGTATCTTGGAGACCTTGTGGGAGATAGAAGGCTCTTACTCTGGTTTTTACGTCAGAAGATCCAACAAAACCTAGGACTTCAATTGAGCCCAGTTGTGTATGGGCTTCAGTAGCTTGTTTGTTTTAGGGAAGTTGGAAGTGAAAGGAGAGGAGATCATGTTTATGTCACAGAGTTTCAGAATCTTGCTCCCCTTTTTTCTCTGAAATAGCTTCACTGTGTAGAAGAACAAAATACCCAACAGTTTATTAGTGTAAGCAAACTTTTCCAAAAATGTTTAGTTTGTTCTATTAAAATTGGTACCATGGTAAGGAGTAAAATCCAACTCATTATCTTCAGACCCTATTTCTAATTCTATGAGAATCCTTTGTGGTACACATACTCTACTTGAATAATTTCATGCCTTTTTCTTTTTGACCTTTGGCTGTAATAAACAAAGCAGTTACAAGATTCATAAATAAATGTAAGAAATATATAATGATTAAAATTTAAAATATATAACATAACCTTTTACAATAAAAATTAATATTTTGATAATTTGATCTCAAAATGTACTGATTAAATGCATCTTATATGTAAAAATATAGAAAAATCTAATATATGTCTGAAATGAAGATATTCGTAAAATGAACTCAAGATCATACACATTAATGCATCTTAGTGAATTCTTCAATACATTAGTAATTGGATCTCTTTGTTAGCAAATGTTATAAGTGATATTTTCCATAAATGTTTGTAAAAACATTTACATTTGCTGTTTGAAGC